GGGTCAGGCTCGGACACCAGCTTGCCCCGCAAGCCAGGTTGTCAAAGGCAAGTAGTTCCGTCCCTCATGGACGCGACTTCGGATGCTCGTTTCCTTTTGCGTGATGATTTTGTCCCTCCGGCTTCAGCCCCCCCCGTTTTTTCGGAAACTCGTGTTGCGTTTTCGAACCTTCCGGTTTCGCCCCCCCCCCGTTTCTTCGGAAACTCGTGTTGCGTTTTCGAACCTTCCGGCTTCGGCCCCCCCCGTTTCTTCGGAAACTCGTGTTGCGTTTTCGAACCTTCCGCCTTCGGCCCCCCCCGTTTCTTCGGAAACTGTTGCACCTCCTGTTTTTTCTACCGCTGATTATGCTGTAGGCTCAAGAATCGCACACAACCCCGGGTTCTCAAACCCCACCCCCCCTTCGACTTTTGTGCCCGTACAAGATGTTCATCATGTTGTACCGTCTTGGGATCGTGTTCCGCCTGCTGCTCCTTCGGTTGCAGCTGCTGCACCCCCTGTCGTTTCGGATGATAGTGTCTTGCCACTTTCTTCCAACATTGCACATGCTCGTCAAGCCACAGTAGATGCGGCTGCTTCGGCAGTTCGCAGGGCTCACGTAGTTACTGTCCAACGGGCGTACATCACTCTGAACTTGAAAAAAGTTGGAAATGTCGCTACCATGCCCTTCCCTTCAACTTTGTTGCCTGGGGACGGCTACCAACAGCTCATCCGCACAACACGAACGGCCTTGTCCGACATATTGTTGCTGTGTGATGACCAAAGCGAAGGGTTGGACAGTACTGATTACGTGCCTGGATGGGAACGGCCTCTCGAAAAGAAACTTTCGGGTGCGATCACCCCTGACAAGCCCTCTACTGCCGATCTTGTCCTCTCCATCGCTGATTACTTTCAGCAGGTGAAGAGAAGCTTGGACGGCGGCGCCACCGGACCAGAAGCTTTTCAGTTGCTGTTGCGTCATCTTGCGGAGCAATTTGATGTCGGCGACCGTCAAGAGTCGTTTTTGAGGCTTCAACAATTTGGAGTAGCAGATGGTACTTCTTTCGCGGATTACCTTCGTGCTTTTCGTTTGTTGGTTTCGTCTGTGACTGGTTCTGAGCGTACTTTGGCCCCTAGCGTATCCATGGTCCTAGAAATAGTGCGGCATTCGGTCTGCAAGCAATTTCCGAGTTTGTCTCCGATTTTGTACCCGGGTGCTCTGGCCACGGCCGTCACCCCCTTTGCGTCGATTGCGGATATGTGGGAGGCGTTCGCGCCTCTAGCGACAAATAAAACCCCGGCTATCGGCGGTTCATCTTATTTTTCGTTGTCTTCGACGCGTGGCTCCTCGCAGCCTCGGCGGTCCCAACACCGCGCCCCCGCGCCTTCGGGCCAGTGGGCACCAGGTTCCGCTCAGAACCCTGTAGTTTTGCCGGTACAATCGCACGATGCTGACCCTTTCACACGCAACTATAATTCTTGGCCTGCTTCGCAAGCCGATTGGTCTGATGTATACGCTCTCACTTCTAGTTTTCGTAACACGGAGGATCCTTTTTTGTGGACTCCTTTGTTGACACAAGAGGCTCGTTCGCAAGCCTTCCGCGAAAACAGGAATCGCTGCCTGAACTGCTCGGGTGAAGACCATTCCATGAAGCAATGCGTTGCACCATTCACGAATTCTAGTGGGTTATTGAACCCTGAGTTGGGTCTCCTCAATGACGATTCTGCTGCTTTTAGACGTTGGCAAGGCCGTATACGGTCTTTTCGACGAAAAAGTGCGTACAACCGCCAAAACAATCAGGGTAGACGCCACCAGCGCTCTTCCTCTTCGTCCTCTCAGCGTCGAAACCACGCTGGGAATCGCCGTTCCGACGGTGGAAGTTCCCCTCACACTCATCAGACACACTCGCACAACGGTGGGTATGCCCCAGGAAATTCTGCGGGTAACTCTCACCCTCAGCAACACCCTTCGATCAACACCAACCACACTGGTGCTCTGTCCCTCTATCAACCACAAACACATGCACACACCGGTCCTTCGTCTGGCATCATGGTTTCGACCAATCACAATGCCCGTCAACCTGGCAACTTCCAAAATGGTGGTCGTTCTCGCAGCGGATGACTCATCGGTGGTGGTTCGCCTACTTCCCCCGGACCGCCTTCAGCATCTTCGGGGACCTCATCTCGTTCATCACAAGACGCTCGTGTGTCACGCTCTGTTGCCTCTAATACTTCGGTTTTATGCAACAACGACAATACTACGGTATCTGTCGCGCCGTCACACACTGTTGCCTCTAGCACTTCGGTCCTACGCAACGATAACCGCACTTCGGTGAATGTTATCCCTTGTGGTACTTCGGTGCCGTACAATAACAACCATACTTCGGTACCCGTTGTTTTCCCCAGTGTCGATCAGGTCGGTATCCAGACAAATGCTCTCGTCCCACCTTCTACATCGCACTTATCATCTGCCACCTCTGCGTCTCTGCCTCTTCGGGCTGGCTCTCCGTCAGAAATTAACCAGTCTGGTGCGAGTGCTGTCTTGAGGTGCGGGAACAGAACCGTAGGACCTTCGGGGCCATCGAGTACCGCTCGTTTGTCGGGCACCGCTCGTTCGCTCCCCCCGTCGTCTGCAGATCAGACCAGCCGTAGCCATGCGCTTTGGACGATTGAAGAGGAATCGCCTGAATTGGTTACCTCGGGTGAATCTTCGGATACGCTCAACTCGTCTGTGCTCGCTTCCGTTGAGGGTTCGCCCTCGATTGTTGCACCGGTAGCTAACTTGACTGGTTCCGACCGGCAAGTTACAGGGTCA